GTAGTAGTGGTAGTAGTAGGCGCCCCCCCCTCCCAACTACACCTGCTCTAAACCATCTTAAGAGCACATCCGTTTTACTCGGTATTTACAGCACTTTCGTCATGTACGATCATCAGAAGAACCCTCAAAATCGACTTGCCGAGTTTGCAAACTCGGCCTCTTGATTTTGGACTTGCTTCTCGGGGGGGTGGGGGGTTGGGGGGGAGGATGATGACGACAGTGTTACGCAAACACAACCAACAGTATCACCGCAAGAGCAGTTTTGCTCGGTGTTTACAGTACTTCCGTGATGTCGTACTTTCTTCTACAGTTGCCGCCCCTACTTCTGGACTGTGCGTCTTAAACTTTGGTGTCTCGAACGGCTTGCAGCGAAAACTCGAAATTGGATGGGGGAAAACTTTTCCCAACCCCACTTTTACTCGGTATTTACAGTACTTTTGATGATGTTGGTGATGTTGGTGATGAAATATGTATGATTTTTCGTGATGTTGGTGATGAAATGTGTTTGCTTTTTGGTGATGTCGATGATGAAACGTGTTTGCTTTTGCGTGAGCACACAACCCCGCTTTTACTCGGTATTTACAGTATTTTTGGTGATGTTGGTGATGAAAGGTGATGAAATTTGTTTGATTTTTCGTGTTGTTGGTGATGAAATGTGTTTGCTCTTTCGTGATGTTGGTGGTGATGATGCTGATGACAATGACGAAGTGTAGTTGGTTATTGGTAGGACTTCAACGGCACATTCTGTTCCTACATTGACCCCTGCCGACTTCCGTCCTTGCCAGCAAGAGACAGGATGGCGAAGGCCTTCATGATCGATCATGATGGTGATGACGATGACCTCATTGCAAAACAGGGTAAGAAGAGATGTGCACATCTATAACTGTATATATGTATATGTATATGTATATGTATATGTACATGTATATGTATACGTATATGTATATGTATATGTATCCGAGTTAAGCCCTTAAAGCAACTTCGGCTGAGACCCCATGGGGGCGAGGTGACCATCTTCCTGGTCTACCGGGTCTACTTCTTCAACTCGATGAGCTGAGGAAGTCGGAAAAAAAGGCTACATCTCAGGGCGGGAGAAGTGTGCCCGGGGGGTATGCGCTTCGTACCTCGGTTGATGATCTTGGGGGCTTCTTGGTACCACTATTCATCCCCATGCTTTTGACGTTTGTAGGCTTTTGGGGGTTTTGGTATGGTTGAAGTTCAGTTGGTTGAGGATTCAAGGCTTCGGTTTTCAGCTGTCGGTGCGGAATGAGGAAGCAGGGCTACCCCCACTGGCATCCCACTTGATGCAACGACGGCCGCGACGAATCAAGCGTCTCGGATCGAGAGACTAGCACTGCATCTCATGAGTCATGGCGCCCGGAAACCCCACAAACTTTCTAGCACCTGGATAAGCTATTGCCTATCAGGTTGTGCAAGCCCTGAATGCAGCTTCTGCTCAATGTACGATCGTAGATGTGTTGGTACCTCAATTCATGCCATCTTTGCTTCGACGATCCCCTAGACTCAGGTCGCCGCAAGCATACTAAGACTCCTCAGATTCACATGCCAGGATAGCATGACAACCAAAATAACTCGAAGTTGCTGCGTCATACGTACTCACAATCACGTCACAGTAGTACCGATATTTCCCAACCGAGCATCTATAGCCAGTAGAAGTCGAACGCGTACCAGGCAATCATGAGCGTCGGCTCTGCTAGCATCTGCATGCCGTGAGGGCAGGCTAGCTGTCATGGCCAAGGGCGACGGCAGAGGCATCAGTTTCGCATGAACCAATGTCAATGTGACGGACTTGGCGAGTATGGGATGCTTTGATGGAGAAGTTTGGCATTTGTTCAAGGCGGATTCCTGTGAACACGAAGTCACGAAACTTTCGGCTGCCGAAGGGTAAGGTCTTCCGCAAGACTTGAATGTTCTGTAGAAAAACAGAATGCCCAAGTTGAAGGGGCCTTGCACGTAAATGCGAACCCATTTGTGGCTTTTGGAAGATCGTGTAGTTGGACGCCCCGCTGCTGGAGATCCAGTTGCTGGCTGGTCGCTTGGTTGCTTGTCCTCAACAAGGCATCCCAGTCTTAGTTTTTATTTAGACGCCCGGTGAGAGAGGTATCTTGATCAGAAGCCTAATTCAAGGCTCCTCCCCGGTTCTGTGTCATTCCGATATCTCGTACATTCCAAAACCGGAGCCACCCCAGACCGTTGCATAGCCACAAAACCCAAACCCCAAGCCCTGAGACCTCAGACCCCACCCTACTTTTCAATAGACCCCTCTCCCTACCCCAAATTACCCTAAACCCCTAAAGTTCTAAACCCTAAAC